GACATAAACTTTTGATATATCTTGTCATTTTATATTCATTCACATATGGTTGTAGGTTCGTGACAAAGGAGCATGGTTAGCTTCTTACAGAGATGTTCCTAAAGCTCGTAGAGCTGCAATAGTACCTGGAATGTTTCCTTCTGGCAAGAGCTTTGTCGACACGTCTGAAAGTGGTAGCGATTCTACCACTATTGGCATCAGTGACATTGATGGCCACAGAGGTTCCACAAACGGGGTTCCTATTGCTGAAGGAACTTCAAATTCTGCTGACTTCTTTGAGGAGGAAGTCTCGACACTACCTTTAGAGCGTTGTATGAGGATAGTGCCTCATGATCAGAATACTGGAGCATTCTTTATTGCAGTGTTTCACAAACTTTCTCCATTGCCAGGTAAAATTGTAATAGGGCCATGTGCATGTCTGATGAACAATAATTAATCTTATAGCGAAACATGACCATAAAAGTATCTTAAAACATCACCGTCTTAAGATACTTCCCATACTAGTGAAAAAATCGATGACGGTGACTGTATTTTGAAATTATCATCTTGTGAATACTCTGTAAGAAGGTTGCAATAGGAAGTACATGAGGCGTAAAACTTTGTCGGCTATGCTTGTTGCATGAATGTGAAGTAATTTCACAAAATTTATTGACACTAAACTTCATGCTAGTGATTTCATACAATTACTTGACACTAAAAACTTTGTGCTACCGACCCCAACATAGTTGAATATTGATGCAATAATGGTAATGATGATGTGTTCCTTTAATCCAGGGTTAATCTCATTACACCCAAATGGGTGTTTACATTTGCAGATGTTAAAAATCATGTTACTCTGCCCAGGAAGTTGCATTCAAATAACAGTAATATTCAAACAGAGAAGTTAACGACTGAGGTCCAAGAAGAGGATACTGATTCAATGCAAGCTAAGCTGGAAGAGATTTCAACTGTTCTTCCTGAATTGACTAGGGATACTGATGCAGCTGATAACGAGATGGTTGATGTTGCTTTTGATGCAGAGTCTGGTACAACGCCTGAAGTGAATGAAACTAATGGCATCGAGCCTTCTAACAATAGTATGGGAGCTAATCCAGAGATGGTTAGAGGAAAAAGGAAATTACAAGTTCAAGGCAGGTGGAGAGGGGTTGACCCTGTTATCTTTTACAGGGAAGAAGAAGTTGTTGGTAAGATCAAAGATTTCTATGGCATCAAAGAATCCTTTCCATTTGATGGTCATCTTATTACAAGAAATGCTGATATGAACCATGTGAAGAGAGTCTATTACATATCGAAGTCAGTGAAGAAGGTTCTTGAACTCAATTTTGTAGTTGGACAGCAACTTAAGATAGCCTCTGTTGGACTGAAGATGTTTGTAAGTTGCTCATTCTAGAATCTTCCCTTTTCTTTCATTTTGCATTAAAGATTCCAATTGGAGCCTGTTTGCTCATCTCTTTTCTTGGATGAAAGGGAATTTGGGTGTTTGTTATGCAGAGAGCATTTGTAACCTGCAAATTACCTTAACACACTTGTGTTTGAGAGGGACATAGAGAACGGTAATTCTTTTTACCATTTTGATATTCTTTGTGACAATATACTTTATTTCTAAAATTTATCAGGAAAGGCAAACATCTAAAGATGGTACATCTGCGCCATGTTTATTCCGAATATCATCTGAAGGGCTGCCGTTGCTTCTGCCCCATGTAACCAAACAGATTCTGCATGCATCTCCCATCGACTTCAAGCATCTATTGGAGCATAAAAGTGTTAAATTTGCCAACTTCGTCGATGCTAACCTTGGAGAGAAGGCTTCAAATCTATTGTTGGGTTGCTGTGTGGTTATTTTAAAGAAAGGTCCAATTGATAACTGTGCAAAACAATATTCTGAATGGATTTGAAGTTTTTGTACGGCTTGCTTCTTATGTTGTTTTTTGTTCTTGTGCAGAAAGTGTGGGTGTGTCAGATCCTTCTCAAGTGGATGCGTCAACAGTTGCAATTGGATGCTGGAGAGGAAGGACTAATGTGTCTGTGATGGTAACTTCTCTCGACTGCCAAGAACTTTTAGAAAGGATGTCTCTTTATACAGAAGAGGATACACCTTTATCTTTGCCGGATAGCAAACAATCACAGACCACTGATGATAAACTTGTTCGGGACAGCGAAGCATCTGCCATTGACGATGAACTTTAAGACCTTTTTTGTCAAATTCAAACTTATTACACCATCTCCACCGTTTTTTATCTTTAAATATCCATCAAGCCACTTTGCATTTTATAAGACCATCCACTTATAATCTGTTGAGTTTTTGTTTGACAGTACCAACAATATAATCACTATAATTATATGTTTTGGGTCGTGATTATTCAAGGATGTTTTAATTGGATTGATTTTTTATTTGGTATTATTTGATCTGGTTTCTTAAAGTCTTGTCTGATCAGTTTGATTAGATAGGTGTCTAATCAATATGTATTTCAAAACTTTCGAAATTTGATTTGGTCTGGTATCTGTTTTAAGTCTAGTTTGGTTTGAGACTAAAATCGTATCTAATTTTTTTTCCCACTTCAAAGTTGCAACTGTTCAATTGAAACTGTGCAGGATATGGGAAAGAGATGTACATTTAAATTGTGTAGGATACGGGAAAGAGTTAAACGTAGGGGTGGACCCGAGCTGAGAGTCCGAGACTTAGAAAGTTGAATTACCCAAAGTCTTTAAATTTCTTTAAGAGATGTCATCTAGGGGTGGGAAAAACCGAATCGAAACCCGGAAACCGACCCTAGACCGACCCGAATTATGACCCCGGTCTGGGTTTTTTCTTTTTAACCGGCCCGAATTAAAAATACCCGGACCGAACCCGAAATTTCGGGCTCATTAACGGGCCTTAAAATCTATAACCCGGCCCGGACCGAAAAAACCCGAAACAATTAGCTTTAATATAATATATGAGTATAAATTTATAAATATTTCCTAATATATGATTATAATCAAGGGGGATAAAAAAAACATTTAGTAACCTTTAGTGACTACAAATATGTTCAATTTGTTTAGCATAATGACCATGAAAAATAGATTTATAGGAACTCTATTCACATTTTTTTCTATAAATTTTATTTCAAAATATTTTTAAGAAACCTATCTTATTTATTTATATGCATCTTAAATAAAATATTAAGATAATTATCTTCTTTGGATTTGAATGTTGGTGATTTTGAAGACTAATATTTGTGTTATTATTTGCGGTTTGTATTTTTCATTAATTTTATTTGAAAATAGTTGTTAAAATATAAAAGAACAATGAGATAGTTGACGTTCGGGCTTTAACCGGCCCAATCCGAACCCGGACCGAACCCGGGCTACCAAAAACCCGACTCGGACCGAATATGACGGACTTTGTTCTGGTCCCTAATTTTCATAACCCGAGACCTTCCGGGTAATTTCCGGGTTTAGCAAAAACCCGACCCAGACCGGACCGATCCCACCCCTAATGTCATCATGTCAACATGGGCTAGTTATATTTTGAAGGGAGTATCATGCAGGCACCATATATTCATATTAACATGAATATATTTTCATCTTAAAATGTCAATCTAATAGAAGTAATTCAAGATATCAATATATTGTTTAATTGTTTTATGACTTGACATTTCATCTGGATCGTGTTGTCATTTATTTTTTCATCGATTCTTTATTGCCATTTTTTTTTATTGTTTCGTCATTTTTCATAGGGTTCCACATCATGATTACAAATCGATTTGACTCATAACATGTTAGGTTATGGAGTTCCATTCTAAGAGGTTAACTTGATAGGAAGAGTATCCTCGAATTTTAATATAACACTTTATTACGTCTTTCAATGGTGGAACTTCAATACCTCTTCTCATGACTAGACTATTCATATGGTGGAATTCACATTCACACAAAGTAGGGGTATTAATATAACACTAGTTTTTCTAGTGTTGATTTACTAGACTGAGCTAGGGGTGGACCGGTTCCGGTTCGGGCCCGGTTCGGGCCTGGGCCCGGCCAGGCCTCGGTTCAGAAAAAGGAGGCCCGAGCCCGAACCGGTGGTGGGCGGTTCCGGTTCCGGTTCCGGGCCAGAACCGGGCGGGCCACCCGGAATGTTTATTTTTTTTTCCTTCTTCTTCTCTTATTTAACCCCCCACCCCTCCCCCTCCACCCCAAACCACCCCAAATGGCCCAAAATACCTAATCCAACCCAAAACTTAAAAAAATTTCAAAAAAAAAAAAAAAAATTAAATTTCGGCCCGAACCGGGCCCGGCCCGGCCGGGCCGGTTCACTAAACTGGAGGCCCGGGCCCGGACCGGTATACCACCGGGCCGGGAGGCCCGAACCGGAACCGAACCGGTTCACCGGGCCGGTCAGGGGCCGCACAGTAGCGGGCCGGTCCGGTTCCGGGCCGGTTGGCCCGGCCCGAGTCCATCCCTAGACTGAGCTAACTATTATATTTGTTGGAAAGCTTTTAATATGTCATATTGTCATGATAACAGTCACAATGTGTTCACTATGGAGTATAATGTTGCGATAGCGGTCACTATGGAGTATAATGTTGCGATAACGGTCACATTGTAGGAGTAAATATATGAATAAGCCAATGAATTCACTATGGAGTATAATGTTGCGATAACGGTCACAATACACTCAACTTAAAATTGAGAGAAAAAATTTCGAGAGAATCCACACCATTTGTTATACCAATATGCTCGCTCACTCATTGACGTGCTCCATATATATTTTGGATATTGTAGTATTATAAATATGATCGTTGTGTAATGATTCTGTTCAGATTTCAGTCGGATGGACCTTCTATTCGGTTGCCGCCATTTGGAGTGATTCTTGCTGAATTTTTTGATAAAATATTTTGAACATATTTTTCATAAAAAATATATTGTATACACAAAATTTCTAACTTAAAATTTAATTGAAAAGTCAATTACATAAATTCTTAAATAATCGTGAGCTAAATTTCTATTAAAAAATTCCGGAGGCCGGAGAGAGGGAAGATTCTGTCCGAACGGCGGGGGTCGTTTTTTATAATGCCGCGCGGCTGCACTGTGCTCATACAGTCTACGTAGAGGGTGAGGAAGAGTGATAAAGAGGAAAGAGCACGAGACGTGGAACGAGATCGATCAATGGACGGTGAAGCGGAAGAAGAGTTGAAGTCTCAAGGAGCCGAAAGCAATGCCACCATCTCCAAGGCTACGGTCCGATATCATGTGTTTTTCTTGTCCATCCACCCCCACACATACATATATGAAACTGCGTGAGATGCAAGCTAAAGTTGAAGGAATTGACTTCGAGAGCTTCTGTGTTATATTGTTGCAGGAATTGGATAACTTGAAAATGCGTTTGCGAGCGATGGAGAAAGAAGCGGAAGTTCTGCGTGGGATGCAAGCTGAAGTTGAAAATCAGATGGGTGATGATGCCCCAGGTTTTTTTTAATCGCAAAACTCCGATTTATATTTGTATTTTATAGTTTTGCAAATATTGAATCTGTTTTTGCTTCTGATTCGTCATTTTTACATAGTCGGGGTGTTACATAAAATCAAGTTTTGCTAATCCAGAAACCTATTACGTATTAATACACGTCTGCAATTCCTTAAGGATTTAGAATGTACTCATTTATTAATTATTGCAAGCACTTAATCTATATGTGATGAAATGTTTGATACGGAAGTTCTCTGTGATTTTTGCAACACCTTTTCCCCATCACCTTGGATAGTTACCTGTTCCAAGTGTCATGCAAATTGTTGCTTTCATATGGTGGGGTTCTTCTATCAAAGGGATATGAGGAGGCGGGCCAGGAGGACAGGAGAGACATGCTGAGTGGGTAGTTCTGTAGTACACATTTCCGATTGACACTTGCATTTTTTCACTTTTGAAGTGTTAACAAAATTTGCTAGGTGCTTGAGTGAAGCTTACCCCATCGAGATTGCCTAGCCCCTCAAGAGCACACAATCTGGCACTTAGGCCATCTAAAGTTGAATTGTCCTAGGCGCTTGAGCCAATTTTTAAGTCATGTTTTTTCCCAGGCTCCAATAAAGTTATGACTTGTTGTGACATGTGAGAGTAGTATCTCTGAGAGTGCACCTGACAACTTCCTTTTTGTGTAAATTAGTACACAATAAAGTCTGAAACCTCTTTTCTTCCTCATAAGCTCACATACGGAGTGCAATTTGCCCAAAATTTTGGGGCAGTTTTTAAATAAAGTCTGAAACCTCTTTTCTACAAAGGAATGGATTTCTTTCCTGATTCCTCCCCTAGACAAATAAGTTGTGTAATCGTTTTATTAGAAAGAAACACCAGATCACCATTGACAACATAATCTTAAATTTATGTGTGCGTATTCAATATGCATTTCTTTCCTGACTTCTCCGATGTTCTCTGTCTTACACTTTCAGAGGATCCATTTTCTGTTTCTTGTTCCCTGTTTTATATTTTCTTTACACTAGGGGGGGGGGGTAGGTTGCTACAGATCTTCTAAAAGTTAATTTATCATCTAGAACTTACGGTTTCATCCTTTCGTGGAAGTTGTTGGAGGTATGAGTGAGTGTGAGGCAGTTTGGCCAGAGAGTCTTCTTCCTCCTTGAGTAAGAGTTTCCTCTTTGTGAGTGAGAGCTTGAGAGGTAGAAGTGTGGCTAATCTTGGTGAGTTGGTGGAGTGGCTAAACAGTCCTAGGTGTGTGTGAGAGTTATTGACTTAGGTTGGAGACCTGAGCTGAAATATACACACCCAACAGAAGTAATATTTTTAATGTCTTTTGTTTTTAAAATTCGTTTAAGATTACCTTGCCTTTGTCTTCAGTTAATTGCTACTATTGTATACGGAGTATTTCTTGAGGAAGTTTCATTATGCTTTGATGCCCTTTTCATTTCTTTCCATGTTTAGTGTCACATTCACAAATAACCAATTTGGCTGTATCATTTAATGTCAGAAAATCCAAATGCAGATTCGACAGTGACAACAGAAGAAGTTGATGCACGATCTATCTATGTTGGCAATGTAAGCAAAAATGGGTCATGTTGAAATGAATTTTGGCGATTCTTTGCATCCCTTGTGACTTTATACTCAATATTCTACCATAGTTTTTCTAGCCCTGCCTTTTGATCTTTGATTCACTGCCTTTCACTTGAAAGTCATAATAATGTATGCATGTGGTGTTTTACGAAGTGTATAGCACAAGTGCTGAACAAATACTGTGATATGCCTCTTCCTAGTTGTGTTTGAGTTTATTGTCATTGGTATTGGCAATAATTCTTATTATTTCTTGGTTTTGTTGAAGATAATTTCTCCTATTTATATAATTTTCTTCCATTTTAATCTTAAGTGGAATGAGATACTTTGGTAGCTATCATCACAACCAATCACAACTATGGTGGGTCGGCAACATGGAGTTTATTGAAGTTAGTTAACACTACAAATAAAATTTTCTTAACTAATTTCCTGAAGTTAGTTAACACTATTAATAATTTCGGGGAAAAACTTTAATGACAAAGTTATATGCCGGAAGCCCATAAATGATGCAAATATTTTTATAGCTATGAAGAAGAAAATTGTGGAAAGTAGATTATTGTTCTCAACACTCACATACTAGACTGTTAATGTAAGTGTTGTCAAACCAGTTGATTTGCAGTTTGTTCTTCACCTTCCACATCATGACAAGCTTAACCTGTATGTGCTTATAATAGTCGTAGTTGACTAAAGCTTATTGGGAACTACCAATTATTATAACTGTGATATCAGAGGTCATGAGTTAACACTACTGATGGCAGATCTGATAGCTAGAGCACATAAAGCTACACATACGTAATAGGCTGCCAGATGTCCACAACAGCTAGTAGTATGATTTTGTTTTGTGTAATGAGGCTGAATTAATAAAATCAGTTTATGCACTTTCACATCAATGACATACTTCGGTCTATTCGCACAAAAACCTTTGTGTTTTCTTCAGCTTACTATTGGCACTATGTGTTGCTATAGTTTCTTGATTATTATGTAGCTTATGTTTTCTTTGGTTTGAGTTTGGCCTTTCTTTTGGGTCTGGTTTTGACAAATCTCACCATGGTGGCAGGGTTAATTATGTGGTTGTGGGAGAGAGTCAATTGCATGCTTTCTTGTAGGGGAAAAAATCGTAAAAAGAAAGATGAGGGGAAAAATAATAAAAGATGACAAAAAAATTAGCCTTGGTTGTGTGCCGGGGAAACTTAAGAAAAAAATATATTCAGGAGTAAAAGAAAAGAAAAGTAAAGAAATTGAAGGAGTTACAAGAGTGTCGTCCTATGAGAAATAATACATGAAAGCTATGAAAATCTCTCCCTTGGGAAGAGCATCTTCGTTGCAATGGATCCCTGCCAAGTCTTTCTGCTGGGAAAGAGTCCGTGGATGTGCGTGTGAGGGTGTCACAGATTTACTAGCCTTTTAGCTGGGTGAGGTGTGTTTTATTGCCTTCGGCATTGTTGTATTATTCTTCCCTTTAGTATCCAGAGTCAGTAGCCTCTACCTATGTGACTACAGTGGTAAAGAACATAAAAGTTAATTACCAAAGTAGGAGAATTGGGATAATACTTCCTAACATGACTCCTTCCAAAATTGAAATATAATGCTTATTATGATTTTTTGTAGTAATGATGGCATTTCTAGAAACAGTTGACTTTTGGAAATTGCTATGGAATGAATTCTTTAAGAGCCTAAGAGTTGGACCATAAGATGCCAGTTCAGATTTCCATCACTAACTATCTCGTATTACTTATAATTATGATTTCTTATTTTGATAAATTTTCACCTGGATGTTATCTTGTAGGTTGATTACGAATGCACTGTGGAAGAACTTCAGCTGCATTTCCAGGAATGTGGTACTGTGAACCGAGTAACTATCCTTTGCGATAAGTTTGGCCAGCCTAAGGGTTTTGCATATGTGGAATTCCTTGAAGAAGAAGCTGTCACGTTGGCTCTCCAGCTGAATGAATCTGATTTGCACGAACGTAAAGTCAAGGTAATATTTTTTTCATTAGAATCGTGTTCCAGTGCCTTCCAGCCAATAATTGAAGAGGAGCATAATAACTCAAATGGTAAACAAAATAAAAGAAAGTGTCAACAATAAACTGCTTTGGATAATTTCTTTACTAGGCACAATGGTGAATCGTGGCGATTGAGTGGTTGGGAGAGTCCTTAACTTTGTAACCATTCAATTCATTTGCAGGTTATGCCCAAGAGGAAGAATATCCCTGGAATGAGGCAGCGCCGGCCAAGGCGTTTCAGCCCTTATGTTATTCACGGTCATCCTATCGTACCATCTTATATCTACTCTCCTTATGGATACGGGTTAGTTTCTTATTGTATTTTTGCCTAGATCTTTGTTGAGGTAGCTTTGAAAGCTGAGTACCCCCCCCCCCCCCACACTTACTATTGCAGGAATCCAACTTTCCGAAGGCCTAGATGAAAGAGGCACTATTCTTTTTCATTTCCGTTTTCTTTTCAAGACTATGGATGTTTCTGCAATGCTATATGAAGTATCTACATTGCTTTATTTGCAAGGAAAGCTAACTACATTAATAGCAGTGTGGTACTGAGTCTTGCAAATTGCAATCATGCTTTGCATTTGATATCTGCATGGGAACTTTTATAGGTGTTTGGTAATTGGGTAGTGTTTCCTCTTAGAAACTGAAACTTTTATGTTGGTACTTGAACTTCTACCAAGTGGTATAATGACAAAAGTTTGTGCTTTTATTTTGCATTTTCCTTTGGCTTTTCATCTACCCTATGTTTGTTTCAGGTGGAGATGTGTTTTAACATGTTTGCGGTTTTAGTAAGTTTTGGTTCAACAACTAAGGATGTTTTTACTTGGACGGTAATTTGTCCCAGACCAGACCAGACCAACAAATTACAGTCCAAGTAAAAACATCCTAACACAAGTTTTAATCCCAAAAGATTTTAAAGTCAGCTAACATGAATTAATACATGATATCAGTCAAAAGGATTCAAAAATAAGAAAATATGTTAAGATAAAAAGATAAAAATAAATATAACATAAAAATAAAAATGATTCATGAGGTTAAAAAAAGATACTCTGTATAAAATAAAAATGATAAAAGGATAAAAATCATAAGAAAAATAAAAAGATAAATAGATAAAAGAAAAAAAGAGGAAAAAAAATGAGAGGAGAGATCAATCTTCCACATGGGTATTTGCTCTCCACTTTATTTTTTTCAAAGACATACTCTCATCCAACTCAATAAAAATATATCATTCATGATTCCTCTAATCTATGTCTGATTGAGTTGCCCCTCTCTGCTCTCTACTTCTTAACTCGTCTAATAGGTGCATCACTCGATATTCTATGAACATGACCAAACTAGGGGTGGCCTCGGGCCGGGCCAACCGACCCGGAACCGGCCCGGCCCGGCCCGGGAACCGGTCTGGGCACCGGTTCGGGCATACCCGGCCCGGTAGTGTAGCGGTGCGGGCTCGGGCCTAGGAAATCATGAACCGGCCCGGCCAGGCCGGGCCCGGTTCGGGCCACAACGGCTCTATTTTATTATTATTTTTTAAATAAAAAACAACCTCCTAGCCGTTGGGAATAATCCCAAACGGCTCTATAGCCGTTGGAGGGGGGAAGGGGGGGGGGGTCCGGGGGTTTTTGGGGTGGGGGATACCAAAAAAAACCTATTTATACTCCTATTTTCTCTACATTTTTCACATCATCTTCATACAATCCTACTCTCTAATTTTCTATTCTCTCATACTCAATCATCTCCATCTTCATCTTCTCCAAATCTCTCTCTCTCTCTCTCTCTATATATATATATATACATATATATATATATATTATTTATATAATTATTATATCTACTTATATATACTTATTATCTACTTATACATCTCCATCTTTTTAATATTTACTTTGATATCTACTTATTATCTATATTTATTGTTATTTACTTATATATATTAAAGTATTATATATGAGTGTATTTCTCATCTTATAGTAATATACTTATATATTATATACTCTAAACATTATATTATATATTAGTTATACAATTATATTAGTTACACTTGAATTCATAGTAATTAAATTCATCGTATTAGTTAAATTTTACATTTCTCATTATCCTAATTTAGTTAATTAATACTTGTCTCATTTTTTCTATTAGTTAATTCATCATTTTTTCTATTCATAGTAATTAAATTCATCGCATTGTTACATTTTTCATTTCCCTATTAGTTAATTTGTTAATTGTTGCATTTTTCATTAAAGTATAAAACTAGTTAATTGTTACATTTTTTATTTCCCTAGTAGTTAATTTGTTAATTGTTGCATTTATCATAAAAGTATAAAACTAGTTAATTGTTACATTTTTTATTTCCCTATTAGTTAATTTGTTAATTGTTGCATTTATCATAAAAGTATAAAACTAATTAATTGTTACATTTTTTTATTTCCCTATTAGTTAATTTGTTAATTCTTGTATTTATCATAAAAGTATAAAACTAGTTAATTGATACATTTTTCATTAAAGTATAAAACTAGTTAATTGTTAATTTCTCATACAATGATGCACGAAATTTGACTGGTATGGCTAACTTACTTGTTGAAGAAAATCTGCCTTATTTGTTTTCTGAAAGTCTTGCTTTTAAAGATTATGCACAAACTTGTTTAAATCCTCAATTTAGAGGTTATAGTCGCAAAACGGTTAAGAAAGAAATTATAAGGATTTATCGTGCGGAAAAGGATAGGTTACAAATTTTTTTTGCAAACTTTGATGGCCGTGTTACTATTTGTTCGGACATTTGGGAGGATACTTATCATAATTTACATTATTTGGGTCTGACTGCACATATTATTGATAATGATGGGAATTTGCATAAACGTGTTCTTGTTTTTCGTGAATTTAATGATCGCCACACCGCTAAACATATTTATATTTTGATTGAACGTATTTTAAATGAGTATAATTTGATTGATAAGGTGTTTGCTATAGGTTTTGATAATGCTACTAATAATACTGCTGCTATACCTAGATTGCGTGAATTGTGTGCTTCTAATACTTTGATGGGTAGATTTTTTCATCAACGATGTGCATGCCATATTATAAATTTATATGTGCAAGACGGTCTAAAAGCGTTAGAAGATGCTATGGAGGTAGTCAATGGGGGATTAGATATATTTGGGGCAATGGTCAACTTAAATTAAAATGGAAAAATTATTTGATTGAAAGAGGTGTGCAATATGTTGCTTTTCCTAAAGATTTGTCTATTCGCTGGAATAGTACTTATAAATTAATTAAAGTTCTTCTTCGATATAAAGAACATTTTCCTACTTTTTTAAGACAATATGATAACTATATTTTAAACTCCGCTCACATCGACACTTGCGAAAAAATTTGTAATGTTTTGATATTTTTTAATAATGCAACTGAAAGGTTTAGTCATGTTTATAAACCTAGCTCAAACGAATTTATTCGTGAAGTTGTTAATCTCGCAGGTGCTTTTAATGAATTTGAGAATGCCGCTTGCGTGAGTTGTTTTTGTGGTTTTATGAAGGAAAAGTTTTAAAATATTACGCTCATATTCCGCATATTTATGGTATTGCATTTCTTCTCGATTCTCGTTATAGACTTGGTAATTTGGAAGAATGTTTGAAGTTCTATCATCATGCTTTTTTTGGTCCATTTCCAATGTATGATGATAACGCCATAGATCCACAAGTTGAATACAACGAGGTTAGTAATTTATTTTATGCCTTATTTAATGAGTTTCATGCACAATATGGCAACGCGCCCCCTCTTCCGACACAAACATCTTCATCTAAAGGAAAATCACTTTTTAAATATGCTTTTGACAATCTTATGAAAAAAACTAAAACAACTCACACTACTGAACAAAGCGCACTTAATGAGATTTCTTTGTATATAAATTATGAGGTAGAATTTGACGAAAATGATGAGTTTGACGTTCTAAAGTGGTGGAAGTCAAAAGAAAGAATGTTCCCGATTTTGGCACGAATGGCTAAGCAAGTGCTATCAATGCCGGTTTCAACAGTTGCCGTGGAACAAGAATTTAGTTCGGCCGACAACGTTCTAACGGCATCTAGAACGAGTTTGAGCGCAGAGTCTCTTGAGACGCTTATATGCTACCACGATTGGTTGAAGGCCATACGTAGAACTCAAGAAATTAGCATCACCCCCTCCCAAGACTTTATGGATGAATCAACAACCGAGGGTGGCTCCTATGCCGGAGATTCCGATTGATTAGTATTTTACAATTTATTATAAAATGTATTTTATGTTTTAATTTGTCCCTCAATTCTCTATTGTAATTTGTAAACTTGTAGTTCATATTTCAAATAAATATACATTCTTTTTTTTTATATGTAGCACTTCTCAAATCATTTAATTGGTTACAAACTTACAACTTACAACTTAGAATTAATTATATTAGTATTTATTAGAAAATGTATTTCATATTGAAGTTGTATTAATAAGTAAAAAAAAATACATAGGCTCGACCTGACCCAGCGGGTGGCCCGGCCCGGGACCCGGGCGGGTGACCTGGCCCGAACCGGCACCGGGCGAAGGACAGGCCGGTCCCGGGCCCCCCATTCCAGAACCGGAGGCCCGGCCCGGCCCCGACCCGTCCCGAGTCCAGGCCTAGACCAAACTATAGTATTCGAGACTCTTGTAACTTATCTTTTATATTTCCTCCGTTCTACTCAACTTTGCCAAGTTGATGTTAGGTGTGAAATTAAAACAGTAACAATTATGTGATTGAGTTTTGTGCAGGTGAGAGAGAAATAAATAAAGACACAAATTTATTGCTTTAAAAGAAAAGCGGCAAAGTATTCTGAGACAAACAAAAAGGAAAGTTTACAAAGTATAGTGGGACGGAGAGAGTAGGTGTTACTCTCATCTTTTGTTTGATTATCTCATTCCTCATACAGTCTTTTATGGCATGCCCACACATTCAACACATCAAACACAACTTCGCAGCTCTACCACACTCATCTTTTAAACATGACATTGTTTCATCGTCCAACATTTTATGTCATATAGTAATGTAGGCTTAATTGTTGTTCGGTAAAATTTACCCTTTCGCAGGGCTGTTTCAGAGGGATGGGCAACAGGGGCGACTGCCTTAGGCTCGAAACAAATAGAAGAAAAAATAGGCCCAAAATTTTTTCTTTATAGATAGTGTGAGTAGACTTCTTTTTTATTTTTAAGTTCAATTAATTAGGCCTAATGTTTAATCTTGTTAACAAATTGAAAATTTTTATCATAACAATTATAAAAATTTTAAAAATAAATAAGAATTCTTAAACAAATCCAAGTTTAAAAAAGAATATATACATTAAATTCAACTAGGATGGATTGTAGTTTTTCCCTGCTTAATTGAGAAGTTCATGAGAATTCTAGAATATTGCGGAGATGCTTAGGATTCTCTAGATGTGTGAAGGAATGTATTGAATGTTCTAGAATGTTCTAGAGCTTTCTAGAGAGACGTGAAATTATCTAGAAGTGTGTGGAAGAGTGTAGAATATTCTAGAACATTGTAGAGTTTTCTAGAAAAATGTGGAATTCTCTAGAATCGTGCGGAAGTGTGTGGAAGCCTCTAGAACATTCTCAAGCGACGTGGAATTCTCTAGATCCTTCTGGAAGATTAGAGAAGCTTGTGGATAGTTCTTAGAAAAATCTAGAAATGTAGTAGCTAGTGTATAGAAAGTTCTAGAGAAGCTGT